AAGTCGAGGCTGAGAATATAAAATTAAAACAAGATAAGGAAGAGATTGAGATCAGATTTGTGAAATTAGAACAGACCACAAAAGAAAATGCTGAGAATGCAAAGTAAAGCCGAACGGAAAATACTGAACTTAGAGATAGAGTCACGAAATTAGAACAAAAGCAGTCGCAAGGTGATGCTATGAATGAATCAACATTTGATGAGGGAAAAAACAATATTCCTGATCAGAAATTAAGAGATATCGGCTTCGCAATTGACTCTAGACATGAATCACCAGAAAAGTCAGATGTCGCTATCGATGAAGATTCAGCTGAGACCCTTAAATTTGTAGAAACAGTACATAAGGAATGTGTTAGTAAAGAAATAATGAAGAGAATCAGGGAAAAGAAGATTCGAGATCAAAACTCATTCGTGGATACTACTTCATCAGAACCATCCAATTTATCAGGTGATGATCAAAATTTGGAATTGTCGGATAATAATTCATCAGAGCAATCTAATTTATCATGTGATATAAAAGCCGTTGACAACGATCAGAATTCATGCGATATAACTAATAGTAGTGATCAAAACTTGAAAATTTCAGCCAGGCCCCCAGTCAAAATAGTCATAGGAAGAAAGGTGCAGAAAAAATTGTCCAAATGATATCTGATGGTATTCAAAATGATGTAAAGTGTCACTCTGATTCTCCAAAAGATATTTTATCAGCAGAGCTGGCATGGCCGAAACAAAGTCACGCAACTGAAATTTCAGCCGGGGCCCCGGTCAAAATTCTTCTACAATTCCGTTGTTTACTTTAGCTCAATTGTTTGATAAAGCAACTGAAGCCGAATATGGTGCAATTCATGCTAATCAAGAAGAGATTTTATGCTGGCATTATTATGGAAAAGAATTTGTAATTCAGTTTAATGAAATCATAAGGAGTAGCAATGGTAAAATTGGTGAGAAATAAGCTAAAGGTATAGTCTATGATAAGATACTAGAACACATTTCTATTATTCGTAAAAAGAGATCTGAAGGTACAGGTTTACATCTTCCAGAAATCTCACGTAAATACTTACAAGGAAAAACCTAGAAAGCTGTAAAAGTTATTCGAAAAAATAGGTGTAGACAAGATTAAGTATATTAAAATATATAGCGCAAACTCTATTTCGGAATTAACTAATGACAAAATTCAAACTATTGTTGATTATTTCTCTAAAAATCCTAATACAGATTTACACGAAGACGACTCCATTACTAATTCTTCAGATGATTTACCCGAAACTGAGGTAGGTGAGAAAACTTTACTGGAAACAGAGGTAAATGTAGTGCCTGAAATGATTTCGCTGGTAACATCAAATAATACTAACTTTTCTGGAAATGACAAGATAGAAGATATAGATTTCACGTGCTCCGATGATAAAAATGAAGCGGGATATTATTACGATCTAAATAACGGGAAAAAACTTATAAAAACTCATCTATAGGATGTTTTGCATAATTTAACTAATAATTTTAACATTGCTATTGTATTTAACGGGGAATTATAAATATACAATATATCCGATAATAAAAATTTTTTTTCAAGAATATTATCAGTTAATATATCTGTTTTTCTCATCTTTTTTTCTCCGTATATAAATGTTTAAAAGATTAAGATCGGGTACAACTCACTTATCACCCGAAGCAATTGGTGATATTATTACTGCAAATACATTACCGATATTAGCTAGAAAGTATAAATCATATACAAGAATTCACGAAATATGGCAACTCGCTACTGCAATAAATAATTAATATATATATATCGCATGTGTATTTCGGGATTTAATACGTATATTAACTTGCATATTTTTGATTGGAAATTTTTTCCATACTTCAAAATAATGACACTTTGTGTCTGACCTTGCTTTATTTAACAAGATAAAAAATGTTGCCGGAACAACATACAAAAAAAAATTATATCTTTGATATACACTGCAATTACAATGTGGATATATATTTTATTCTCCTTTGTGCCATTTACGAGCATGGATATCTTCATAATGCTTCATAAAAGTATAATTATCAGTGAATGTTACTTCACATCTAGGGCAATTAATTTCCAATTCTTCATTTGGTGATGATGATTCTGAGGATTTCTAGTTATGGAATATATGAATTTATAACAAAAAGTAATGAATAATAAAAAAAATCATGTTATAGAAGACAATAAAATTTACCTGTGAAATTGTATCATCAATTTTCTCTACTTCAAGAGTAAATCCCGGCAAAACACTGCCACCATTTACATTATTCCAGCCATGTGAAGTTGAATAAACAACCCCATTAGCCCTCTGTCCGTAAATATATATTTCCTTGTCTTCTGGATTCACTAACCAACCAAGCTTAATCGATGAGCCCGTTGAAAAGTAAACTTTCTTGAATTTTTCATCCAAATCATTGAATTTTTGAGAACCTTCTTTTTCAGT